GTCGGCTTGATGAAACGCGTCCACAAATTTAGCTCCAATTAATTGGACTTAAATTGTTGGTCACGTCCATCCGTGGACGTACTTCAAAGTCACGTCGTAAGGCTTTGTAAAAACGACCCACAAAACCTTAGTGCCATATCCGTCCACTGAAGTACTTACTTTATACTCTGGAAACCTCTGTGAGACAGTCTCACTCACACCTTTTGGTGTCGTACCAAAAGTGTCCCACACCTGTTGGTGTGAGGCACTCTGCGCCCGACACCAAGACATCGGGAGCCATATGTCGGAGGCAGTGTGTCTCCTCACATCGAAGTTTCCAGAAGTATCCATTTGTACCGCGCGATTTATGGAACACGAATAGTATTATTTATCACACAGCGGCCGCAATCACTTCCGTCTCTGTCATATCCGCCATGACGCGAGGGCCAACTTTCAATGTGGTGCTATTTCGTTGGACTTAATTCCCGTGTTCTTAAATCGGAAACGTGTACAGGTTTTTTCTCGTTCTTTACCTCCACTCTCACTTCCCTCTTGGATGTATGTTACCAAACGATCACAATTTAGAGGAGATAAGTGACATTAGGTTTTGTGGACCGATTTTTGGCAGCCCCAGACGACTTTTAAAAAGGTCCACAGTGACGTATAACAGAGTCATGAGAGTTATGTGTTTGTGTATGTATTTTCGGAACTTTGCTTAATTTACCTCGAAACTACTGTGGAAGCGGTTTACTACGTGGACGTGTCGTACCGTACCGATGCCTTTCGGCGTCAACTGACGTCAAATGTCTCCGGAAAATTATTTTAACTAGCACAGGACTTCTGTGTGCGTAATTGATTTCAGATACAGTACTGTAACCACGAATACACATGAAGTAACCAGCCATAGTTTCACTATTATCTTGCAAATAGAAGTTCGGTGCTAGTTACAAAAAGGAATCATCCGCACAAGGTATGTCCGTCATTCGCCGTCACAACACAAACCCGTCAATTTTCAGCATCTAAGCTCTCATATAACGCCTGGTAGATATGCAACATCTTGCCTTCAGTGCACGCGTGTACTGCACTATGGCCTACCCTCAGCCTCGCAGGCGCCGAGCTCCCGCCACTTGCCGAATGAATCCAAGAAAACCGATCCCCTAACTGCATCACAATGAACATCCCGCGAGTTAGCAAGCACGAGCAGGGCCAAGGGCTCCTGCCTGAACTCCCCTCCCACTCGTTTTTCGCGCTTGGACGCTCTGGGTGGACCGCCAACTTCACACAGCTGTTTGGCGGGTTGGCCTACCGAGCGCATCGCAGACGCTACCGTACTTTTTAACGATACCTCTCTGACGTCGGAAACCATACGCAAGTCGCGATTTAACACTTTTGTCTTTATTTTTGCGCTATTCCGGTTCCAACAAGTTCTTTCCCCTGCGACACCCCAAGTGTGCGGTCCAGTCCAGAGCAGCGCCCATTCGTTCACAGATAGCCTAGGGTCCCAGTGAGAAATTTTTTACGACGACATCGTTTCGACATCGTTTTTCACGTCGTTACGACTTAAAAGTGGTCCTGAAATCGACGGCCTTTCGACAGCTGATGTCGTTTCGATGTCGTTTCGACGTTTCACTGTCGATTTCATGACCACTTTTAAGTCGTAACGACGTGAAAAACGATGTCGAAACGATGTCGTCGGATAAATTTCTCACTGGGGTAGGTACCTTCATGTCTGACAGGTCACCAGTGACGCGCACCGTAACGTTACGAGACGTAACGCTAAAAAAAACCATTTTAATTTTGCTAAAGAGGCGAGGAGGCAATAACTCCCTTTTGAAGTGTACACATGATTCCCGAAATACTTGATTTCCAGTGATTCCCGTCCGCTTATGTTTATTTCTCAGGTTATCTAGTGGTAGAAAACGCTTATTTCGACTAATTTGTACCAGTTCCGCTAGTTTCCCGCTTAGTTTAAGCGATTTCTGTTGATTTCGATCAATTTTTATCGTGATGATTCCCGGGCAGGTGTACACATGATTCGCGGAGTTCTTGCCCCTCGTAGAGAGGTCTTCGTTATTTTTATCGCTCGTTGATCGCGTATGGGGGGAAAAGTAACTAATAGTGAGTACTATCGATAAGCAAAGCAAACGCACATCGATAACATTTCAGGGCAACATGTGGAAAAATAAAATAAGGAACTGTCTGAAAATCAGAAATAAAGGGAAAGGAAGAAAATATACCGACTTTGAACCGAATACGGGATTTACACCTACCTTAGTCTCCTGGTTAGACACACGTCAAGCCGCCCGGTCTGTGCTATAGAGAGGGGGGAGGAGAGGGGAAGCGGTAGAACGAAACTTTGCCTTCTGGTAGTGACGGTCTCTTAGGGGACTGTCTAAAAAGTTGTTATTTACTTCCACGTGCGCCAAAATATTTTAACAACACAAAGTTGTTCGTTTTGTAACGATGTATGTTGCTATCAAACTTTACAACGGTTTCGTTGTAGTGTTAGTGTTACAACATGGTGAAAAGTTATAAATAGGAATTATTGTTATGGGCCACAACGGTTAAAATACAAGAAAATTTTGTCACATACAAATGAAAACGAATGATGTTGTGTATTTTTAATAAAATACTTATTACAAATTGTGTCATAATTTGACACCTTTTTTTGTAGGTAACACACATGACATACTATGTCATATGACAAATAGTAATGCTGTAGAGAAAGGTCACACCATGCACTGAAAACGCAAGTGTGCGAATGTCATACACTTAGGTGTGTGAATATGCATTCGTACACTTACGGGGGTAAACGTGAGAATTTTCCAGGTAAAGTTCACACCTTTACCCTTCTAAGTGTAAGAATAGATATTCACACACCTATAGGTGAGCGACATTCACACACTTCACCGTATTCGTTAACAACACATTTGGGTAGCCCCAGCCACGATCACGTCGAAGAAGGATGCCGTTTTCCAGTCCCTCGCGGTGCGTCTCGGCACCACCCCAGCAGCCGCCGCACATCTCCGCTGCTCATCCTGGCCGCGGCCCGCTCCAGGGCGGTCTTGCCGTCGAGTGCCACGGCGTTGACGTCGCAGCCAGCCTCCAGCAGCGCGCGAACCACCTGCCGCGCCGCGGTGTCCGGCACCAGCTTCCGGTCCACGTCCACGACGTGATCCTCGGGCCGGCCGCGGAGGCCGTCCTCAATGGCGGCCAGGACGCCGCGGTCAGGACCGGCCTCGACGATCAGCCTCGCCACATGCAGCCTACCCCCCTGGGCTGCCAGGTGCAGCGCAGTGCAGCCGTCAGCAGTCCGTGCGTCCACGGCGCAACCTGCATCCAAAGTATCCACAGCTAAAGTTTGGGTAGTCAAACCACAATAATACCAGTGTGCTTGTCAATTCACAGCAATCAGGGAAACGGTTGTTTTCAGCCCCCGTGAAATTTCGTCCGTATAGGTCCCGTATATACTGTGACGTACCAAGGGGCTATGGCGCCTTACGGGCAGATCGGGTAGGCAAACCCGCAACACTGTGGTGTATTGCCTTTGCAGACGGTATATGGCTGTCTTATACCAGACGTATGCATCATGCACGGATCAGAATTGCATGGGATTTGTTTGTGAATCGGACGAAGTTTGTACGTAGTGAAACAAATGCCGTATCGTGCGTATCATACGAAAGAGAATTTCCGCCTTTTCCGAATGATACCAATATTACATTTTCGGTGAGGTTGTCTGGCGGTTAGTCCAGAGAACCAAATTCAAAACCGACGAAATTTTAGCTCGAGCCCAAAATTTATCCGATGAAATAGTTTAGTCTAGCTGACTGAATTTTTGACTGGTGCGACCATATTTAGTTAAAAAAAATGAGGTAACTAAATTTTAGTCGGTGTTAGGAACAAAATTTTGTTTCTTACAACCCTGATTTAGTTGTATCAACTAAATGGTTCTCTGGGTGTGGGGAATCCCGGCCATGGGAGGGCTGCAGCAAATGTTTTTACGTTGCATTTAAAGTCATCATTAAATTTAAATTTGCACTGACGTGCACATAAAATATCGTTTAGTAAGAGACACAGAAAGTATACGCCAGTGTACGTACCTTTCTGCAACAGCAGCCGCACGACGCCAGGTTTGCCGACGACCTGGGAGATGTCCTGCGCCACGCTACAGTCCGCGGCCACGTGCAGTGGGGTGGCGCCCCGCGAGTCCGCCGCGTTGCAGTCGGCGCCCCGGTCCAGCAGGAGCTGCACGGCGCCGACGGAGCCGCACCGGGCCGCCAGGTGGAGAGCCGTCGTACCGTCCGGCATCCTGTCGAGAATCACGCACGGTAAAAACGATGTCTCATTTTTTGAGGGAAAAGCAGGGAAAACTTTGAAGAACTCCCATATTATGTTTGAGGGAGAGGCCTCCAATCTCGCCTCAGATCAGATTTTGAGGAATCTTCTTAAAAAATGAGGAAAAGTCCCACCTTTTTTTAAGGAGACCTCCTCGAAATCTGAGGAGTTTTCGTCAAACCAGGGGAGTTCCTAAAAGTTTTCCCTTTTCCCTCAAAAAATGAGACATTATGTTTTTACCGTGACGCCGGCAAGTTACATTGAAAGAAGTACATGACTGCGATGACTGCTTTAAAATACGTAGCATGGTCTCCATAACTAAAAGGATTTCTATTAAAGTGCAAAGCAATCATTCAAATGCGATAAGAGTGTGGGGTTCAAGGCGTGCATCCAGAAAAGCAGGTTCTTGTCAACATGTTCTTGATCACATGCTTAATTCGAGCACGATGTTCTTGGCGACGTGGGAAGAAGGGAAATAAGTGTGTGTGTGTGTGTGGGGGGGGACTAACTTGGTTAAGGGGTCCTAGCTACTTGTTCACGTAAGTAAAGCCCCCCCCCCTCCAAAGTTATCCTCTACGAGCTCAGTGGTGCCGGAGGTGGTATCCGAGTAAGTGCAATTTTTCGGTAGGATTTCACATGCAACGTCATGTGTTGTCCTAGGTGACATCACATGACGTATCATGTGATGGCACGGTTTAAAACACACGTGACATGTAATATGAAAAGTTTTCCCAAATCAGAGATCCCATGTGGTCACATCTGTGTATGTGTATATGATGTCTCGTGAGGCGTCACGTCACGAGGCATCACCAGGAGCATATTAAGGGGGG